TGCGAGAAGTGCTCTCGGTTCGCAGGAAAGTTATCCTCCAGGGTACCAATCTGGTAGGCAAACGTGCTGCCTCAGGCAGGCCACTTTTCAGCAACTTTTTTTTTTGAATTAATATTTTATGATGTAATTCGGGTTATGGTTGCACATCTGTATAATGGGAAGCTTGTTAGCTGGCATGGGATTGTTTGATCAGAATGCATCTGCTTTAGCTGGTCTTTTACGACAGAAAAATGAACTTTCACTTTTCCATCCATGTGCTGTTGAGGCATTGATGATTGAAACGCCCGACAAAATTGCTTATTCAGTTATTTGTATAGCAAAATTGATTACCATTGGTCTCATGCAACATATTACACTCCAATGCAGTTCTTTGGAGGCGTCCATTATCCGTGGGAATGTGCTTCGACTGGGCGTTGCCGCCAGGAAGACACGTAGAGGTGGCATCCAGACGAGCAAGCCTTCCCACGGATAGGCGGTTGCCGTAACGCGATCTAGCTATCGTCGCATTGGAGTACCACGGTAACTCCTAGCGAGTGAGTTTATTCCCTCAATTATTCTGGGTTTCATGGTGTGTTCTATTGCTATTTTTCATAATTGTTGTATGTGCTTTGGAATATGCATATGAGCTGTGTTCCCAAATGCTTCCCTTACCCCAAATTAGCGGCACGGTACGTCGTACACCGAGCTTCATCTCTCGAACCGTTGAGAGTTCGACCAGCGCCTGCAGTTCTCTGGAGCATTGATAAGATCAGTCCGATCACCCAACAAACGCCGCGATTCCCTGCTCGTTCTGACGAAGTCACATAGCCGTCTTTCGCTAACTCATGATGATCGATACCGACCAATATCGCTATAGTGAAGTTCATATCGAGGGATTTGTACCATCTCAAAGTTGGAAGGCCTCAGATGTAAGATGAGCTGAAAATGGGATACCCGAACGCTTACGAAACTTCGGTGTGGATGGGCATCGGCGAACAGCCATTATATGCAAAGTTGTTGAAAATAAGGAGAGCCATGAATAGCTGGTTAACAAGGCAGTAGTTCGTTGTTCATCTATCGATATCTTAGCGGAGTTGCCACTTAAGTACCACTTTTTCCTGAAAGTTGAAAGCTCTACGCCTAGAGAGGGCTGAAGTATGATTGCCTAGTCCAATACGATACAAATTTTTATTGGGAGGTAGCGACTGCTATCGTTGTAGCGATGTTCCTCTTCAAACAATATTCACCAAGTCCGATGTGCAGTTGACCAGGTTTTCATAGCTCAGCTCTACGTTGGCCATAGGGCTCTCGAACTTACTGCCTCAAGATTGGAGCATTCTGCATCAGGAAGGAAGAATCTGATTTTCGCGGGAGACAGACTGGTGAACACCCACGTCCCCGTACTCAACCGTTTATGTGCAGTATTGGTACTGAAAAAGATGCAGTACTTTGAGTGAAGAATCGCAAAAGTTAACAAAATGGCGTCATCGTAATATAGGATGTCGGTGTATGATTGCCTAGAAATTGGTTGTTCTGTGCATCCGCCCCTTTCTTTCCAGCAACCGGCAAACTGGTATGGGAGCCTAAGCCGATTCTGCATTGAAAATTGAGGGCATATTCCGCGATTAATTAGTTCGGCCATGGGATTATTTCAGGTCTCATTCAGCGTTCGGGCCGAAGACTGTTCAGTGGCAGATAGCATTGCCCGACTGGTAACGCTCTTTGTCCCGGTGGTGTTGGGTGCGAACGCTGGTCGCTACTCTGCAGTAAGCTCTCTAGAATGATAAGCAATCTTCCAAGAAGGGCGCTGGATGATAGGAAAAATCCCCGTGGCACTGCAACGTAGGAGTTAGGTGTGAGCTTTGCAACTTTTCGTGGTATTCTGTTGGGCGGGATGGGTATGAGGAGAAAATGGGAACGGAAAAGAAAAAGGAATGAGCCAGAGTCACCTGTTGATAGCATAATCGATATCATAGCATCTGAACATTTTACAGATCGGCAGCAGACCCCATTCTGAATAAAATTGCCCGCTTGGCATTCCAATTAATTCCGCGAATCTGCAAAAAACTAAAATAAGCATGATTGTACTACCAACAGGCGATCCGCATGTCTGGAATTTTTCTCGTTCTGCTTTCATTTTCTCTTGGATGTCTAGCAGAAACCGGCGGTGAGCGACGTTAACGACCTGAGCATGGCTCGTTTTCCTTGGACAGCTGACTGGTAGCAGCCTGTGTTGGGATGATTCTAGGTGGGATAAAGGTGTTACATTCGGACTCGTTGTTTTACAGTAGCTAATCGATTGCAATGAGGACCTTGATGATGAATCGATTGATATCGACTTTTTTAAATTGTATTTCTGTTGCATTCTGGTGATGAATCGATCGATATCGATCACTCTTTAGTTGTATTTCTGTTGCAACGTAATGATGAATCGATCGATATCGATTTTTCTTCAATTGTATTCCTATGGCAACTGATTGAAAGTTTCCTTCTTATGGATCATGTTTTTGAGCTTTAAATTTATCATGATGCTTCATTTCATCTGCTTTTTTCTTTTTTTTTTTCAGAAAGCGAAGGATCGTTCCATCCTATAACAGAGTTTGTTACCGGTACGGATGTGATCCCTAGTCTAACGCCAGCCTACGAGATGCCACCGCTAGCGAAACCATTGCTTCCGACTCCACCCACTGACGACGTAACGAGTACTGGTCTAAATGCTTCACAAACTCAGTTACCGGTAAGTTCTAAAAGCTTCGGGGTCCTTTTTTTCGTTTGGAACATTTTCTTCCAATGTCGAGCTGGGTTGGAGCAGCTTGGCGCAGTGGGCGACGGTGTTTATTGGGTACAGTACTCGGAAGTTCGAGGTTCGTCTATGATGAGCTTGCGGAAAAGACGTTAAGGCCATCTTTGTAACTGATGTCACTCGTCGATAGGGGACGCCTCTCCCCACTCGTTTTTGATTTTCTGGTCCTTCTGTGATTGACGGTTATTTCCTTTAACAACACTGCTCTGACCATAGTCATCCTCTGTGTGGGTGATATGTCACGTCGAGAAATTTCCATGATTATTTCATAAACGTGAAATAACGATGTCGTAATACTGGAAACGGCATGTTTGAGAATGTGATTCGATCGCGTTGACTCAGTGCGCCGCTCGCCCCGATCGTTTTTCTCACATGACCCCCATACCAGTAATCAATGAATGCGGTTTCGTAAGTCACCCTTAGAAGACAACATTACAATGTCGATCTATGAGAGGGAAACGTGACAAGAATACTCTGGCATCGTTGAAAACGGTTGGTAGACACTGTCGGTCACGTCTTGTCATCATTTTCTTTGAATCAGAGCATGTCGTGCAGTCCCTACCGCTGCTGCTGACAGCATGACTCGGTCTTTGGCTGGACTGTCTACTGACTTTGCTGTCTGTCCTTCGTTATTGTTTTCAAGTTGTAAATGGCTTCGCGGTGTTGTTTGCGACGGTGTCCGCCTTCTTGCAGTGATTGATAGCGATGTGGATATGATTTTTTCCGGGGTGTCGAATATTCCTAAGGGAAAACTTACGGGGAAAGCATCCCTGATCGTATTCTGCGCAAAAACAAATTCTCTANGACTAAGACTCATCTCACTTATGATCAGGCTATGAGGAATTTTTTATTGATATTTCTTTTAGTTATTTACTATTCCAACCAGTTTTGTGGCGACGTACATTGTACCCATTTTAACGGACAGTTTTTTTCGAATCGGTTCGAGGAATTTAAGGTAAGTTCACGAACCACAGACGTAGGCGACCCGGTTTGCCTATTGTTCCATCCTCCCATCGTTGATTATTACCTGCTGCTTATCGCTTCTATCGAGAACCAGTGCGCTCATTCCACCATCTTACCGAACACGAAAAATGTTAGCCCATCTTTCACTTCCAGGAAGTGGGGCGATTTCCTGAGTCTATTGGGTGCTTTCTGGCTTCGAAATAGTCAACTTTTCACCTGCCGCTCTTTATAACCAGATATCATCAGAAATATTTTGTCTTGTGCGATTTGGATGGCGTTGATCGTACTAAGGAGTTGTGTGAATACCGGGAACTACTGAATCTGTACTAAAATTTATATATGTGAATTACAATGAGTGCAATACATCCTTGTCGTTTCATTGCCAATCCGATTTACCACAAATCGAATCGGGCATATCGATTTTCAATTGTGATGGGGTGTCAACAATCGAGTTGAGTTGGGAGAGCGAGAGAGAAAGCGACTTTCGTTTCATCTCCAAAAGGCTTTGTTTTGACGCCCTACGTAATAATATTTTGCAAACATTGATTGGTTGTGTCATATTTCGAGCTGATGCGAATTTTGTGATTCAAAAATATTGGGCCGGAAGGACTAGAAAGGGAGGAGTTGCTTTTTCAGTTCACTGAGCTGACACATTGTTCATGCAATCTTAAATTGTGTGTTAGCTGCGGTCCCGTAAAAGAAGTTTCTCGAATTGTTGGAATAGGATCTATCCTAGAGATGGGAATTAATAGGTTTCACTAGGATTTACTGTGGTTTTGCCAGTGCCGTACGGTCTGCCCCCGACTGAGCACCCTTGGGTGGCAAGAAATTCTCTGATTGATTTTAAGGTACCGGGTTTGAGTGAGCACCTTTTGATCCGGTAGCTGTATCTCCAAAACAATGCTCCGGGCTGTTTTGGGTTGTTTTACCATTCTTTACTAACACTTTTATTCCATACTTACGAATTTACAAGCCGTGGATTAACAAAAATGTTTGGCTGGGTGATTCGGACTCCACGAATCTTTCTGAATGAATCTTTGTAAGTTCCGTCACGCATTATTTTCCTGCATGACTGGTCAGTTTTGCGGTTTTTCTGGTGAATTTGGTTAGATTCTGGTGCCTACTGGGAGATTTTCCTGTTACTGTATTCTTCCGTCTCATTTGCATGAAAACGGACTTTTTAGCATCTTTTTGGCTTTCAGCTGCTCAACCGAGCGCATTTGAAGACTTTTCTGCCTTCTAGTCCCAAATCGTTTCATGTTACGGCTTTTGCAGTATGTAGAAAGCTCTAGATCGCTAATTTATAGAAGGGAAAGGGATTCGTAATTTTTTGGTAAATTTGTAGAATTTTTTGGGGACACAAGTTTGTTGAATTACTTACAGCAGTTTTGAGATTGACAACTCCTTCCTGTGTACCCGTTTCAGGATTATTTTTGAGCCTATTTTGTTGTGACTTTGGAAATCGGAATGTGGGAATGTGAGGTCTATGTAATTGGCACAAATCTGGTTCATACCCATGTCTAAGCCGCCTATATGTCCCATTATTTTTTGTTTGACTTATAGAAAATTTCATTTGGCCATATTTGTCATGCCTTTCCGCCGGGGAATCGATGGGTCTCCCCTGAATATGCCTGATTCACGCGAAACAATCGCCAAGTTGAAATCCCCTGATTAAATCTTCTTTCATCTGGTTACGTTTCGTTGACCCATTGACCACAATACGTCATGTTCAGTTAATTTCTTGTGCTACAACGAAATCTCATCCAGGAGGTCAGTGAAAATTGAGATGCTGGTGTTTCTTACTCGATATTAGTGGTAATTAGGATGGTATTGATCCTTTTAGGCGGGCCAACCACCAGTTCATAGCCTCAACATAAGTAGAGCAGATCTTATCAGATTCCTTGGCAGCACTTCTTTCGTGTTAATTGATTTTCTCTGGCGGACCAATATTTTTCCTTCTGATTTGTCTGTAACTTTACTTGAATTTTTGTGTCGTGCTTAGTTTCCGATGGTTGGTGAGACAAGGGTTCAGAAGAATCAGTGGGTTCTCCTATCCATGCCTCCAAGAAAATGTGGTTTTGTTACTTGGGAATCAAGCTATTGAAAAGGTTCATCACTGTCTTCTTGGGATATTTCAAGTAGGGATCCGAAGTAGCTCATTCAGGCAGCTGAGAACTTTTCATTGACTGGCTTTTACGTTTCCTACTCATTCTACCGGATTTACATTTATACCATTGCTACTCACATTTTTAGCCCAAGATAATCTAATAGAAGAAAAAGTAACTGTAGCAATAGGGAAAAATATTATGAAATTTTACAATTTTCAACTTTTCCGAACAGATAGATCAGGATATATTTTGCTCCTTGAAACTGGATTTGGAAAACTTGTTGTGAAAGCTCAGAAAAGGTGTTGGAGTATGTGTGATTAACGTTTTCTGTAAAAGGCAGTGTTATCAGTTGTGCTGTGTCTTTGTGATGTCGCAATCAGCCAAACGATTCGCTCATCATTCGATATTGCATTTCGGTATGGTTCGAGAACTTTGACTGCTCTCTCGACCCTCTTGAACGTTTTCCATTTAACCAATTTCTGAAGATATACTAGTCCTGGAAGAGTGTTTATTGAATCTTATTACCCACCCAGAAAGGGTCNGCTGTGTCTTTGTGATGTCGCAATCAGCCAAACGATTCGCTCATCATTCGATATTGCATTTCGGTATGGTTCGAGAACTTTGACTGCTCGCTCAACCTTCTTGAACGTTTATTCAACCAATTTCTGAAGATATACAATTCCTGGAAAAGTGTTTATTGAATCTTATTACCCACCCAGAAAGGGTCATCCCCAGAATACCTGTTTGTTTGGTTTCTTCTTCCCGAATATGGCTGTTATAACGTTTTTCTGCCGTCATATGCTCATGAAACACTTCTTCTAGATCAATATTCAGGGGAGTCCATAGTTTTGATAAATCTTTTCACATAAATTCATCAATTAATCAATGGCGTGTTGCCTCTGACTGTTTATCTATGTAACGAACACTTTTCAATCAAACATTGCTCTTATTTTTTTAAAATTAATTCGTATTAGGACTTGTTCTAGACTGTTGTCTTGAACGTATAGAGTTGTGAGAACCTATTTGATTTGAAACTTGAAGGATCCGTTTTTGTGAATATAGTTTTGCAGTGGGAATAGTCAGGTTGGCTTAGCTCTCTCTACAGTAGTCTTTCATCCCTTCTTCTTACTGTAATGTCAGCAAACAGTTATTGATTGCCTCTTTTCCTTGCTATCTCCGCTCTTTTTGTACAGAAAACTTTGAGCTTTTGATATTCGATCGTGGGAAAGAAATTCATGTGAGGGTTCCCCTTTCAAGTTTTTTAGTGAGATGAATCAAGAAATTGTCCTTTGAGCATTTCTTCTCAGGTTTTCTTAAAGGAGAAAAATAAAATGGAGGTTGGCTTTCTCCATATTTTTTCTTCATGAATCTTTGTCGTCTGACTTCATGCTAAAAATTTTGTTCTTCCTCCTTTCCCTTCATCATGAGAGAATTGCAATCATGGGATTTTCCTTTCTAAGATTTTTTTGTGAGATAAAAGATGAATCGAGCTTTTGAGGCTTTTTCAAGGCTGCTGTGAGGAGACAAAGGAAATTGCTCCTCATAATTAATAAAAAAAAGCGTGTGAAAGAAGCAGCTTTTTAGACAATCGTTTACACTGACATTAGTTTCTAGGTAATTAACTGCATTTGGATAAACTACCCATAAGGGGACATATGGATTTGTGGGTTTAGCGTTATGATTTCCCCGTTACTACGTTCATACTTTGTAATGGGCTTACTAGGAGTCTATGCGTACAAGAAGGGCAACTAGATGTCTTCCCCCAGCCGCCCCACCCCCATTCCACTTTTAAGAAGGTACGGCTGTTGGCCGAGATAAAAATTTACAGTATGATGTGATGATATAAAGGAAAACGAAAAGCGGCTTAGTTCAGATTCTGACAAATTTTCTAACACTCTGTAGCAACTAGCTGGTGGTGGCCCTCGAGGGCAAAGTCAGCAGGACTTAAAAAAATGAATACGTACCGGGTTTATTTCCTTCTGGTTAAACTACAAATACTTACTAAAGAAGTTTCTTTGGAATTGA